TACGACAAGATCAAGCACGAACCCGGCGCCGTCGACTTCCTGCGGACTGCCATTCTTGCGGCCATCAAGGAATACCACAGCGTCTGGGTAGCCGAACCCCGGCTGGACCCCATCACCGGTCTTTCCCGGTACAGGCCCGAGGGCCGCGGTGTCCCGCCCGAGACCGAGGCCGGCCACTTTGTCCACATTCTGGAGCCCTACATTGAAAAGCACGGCGTCACGTTCGAGGAGTTTGTCGATGCCTATAACAACGGCCGGATCGACGAGCCCGAGCTCGACGAGTACTTTCTGCACGACCGCGCGGTGCGCGAGTCGGGCCATGACACGAGCTACCGCCTCGAGGGCGTGTGCGCCAACCTGGCCACCATCGACCTCAACTCGCTACTCTTCAAGTACGAAACCGACATCGCGCGCACCATCCGCAACGTCTTTGGCGACAAGCTAGTCATCCCTGCCGAGTATTGCGTCGGCAGCATGGCGGCCGGCCACGTCGAGACGTCAGCCATCTGGGACCGCCGTGCCAAGCGCCGCAAGCTGGCCATCGACAAGTACCTCTGGAACGAGGCCGAGGGCATGTACTTTGACTACGACACGGTCAAGCGCGAGCGATGCACCTACGAGAGCGCCACCACCTTCTGGGCTCTCTGGGCGGGTGTGAGCAGCCCTAGTCAGGCGGCCGCCATGGTGACCAAGGCGCTGCCGCGGCTCGAGGCCTTTGGCGGCCTGCTGTCGGGCACCAAGGAGAGCCGCGGCGAGATTGGCCTGGAGCGGCCCAACCGCCAGTGGGATTACCCCTACGGCTGGGCACCGCAACAGATGCTTGCTTGGACGGGGCTCTACCGGTACAGCTTTACTGAAGAAGCCGAGCGCCTGGCGTACAAGTGGCTCTTCATGATCACCAAGGCCTTTGTGGACTTCAACGGGGTCGTGGTGGAGAAGTATGATGTCACGCGGCCGATCGACCCGCACCGGGTCGACGCCGAATACGGCAACCAGGGGTTGGACTTCAAGGGCGTTGCCAAAGAGGGGTGAGTATTTCCCTCCAATGCTAAGAGAAAACATACTGACTTGTCTGTGTGTGTCACAGATTTGGGTGGGTCAACGCCAGCTACATCTACGGCTTGCAGATTGTTAATGCCCATATGCGCCGTGCGCTGGGCACGCTGACCCCCTACGAGACGTTTGTCAAGGCGCTCGATGAGAACCGGGCCAAGGCTCTTGCGGAGCTGGTTTGATTGCCTCGGTAGGTATTGGGACGGACTAGCCTTCGCAGCATTCAGGGCCAGAGGAGATGGCTTTTTGGGAGATTTATTTTTCTCTCTTGGCGATGAGGAACGGGAACGGGAACGGGAACGGGAACGGAACCTTTTGTCTAAGTAGCCTAGATTGTTGCATATTAAGGGGTGATTGCATGGTGGGTGAACGGAGGCCTGCCTCATAGGACGGCGGGAGGGATAGGCAGGATGCTGATGCTACCGCCGCAAGGTCAAGCAAGGTTGGGCTGGGGGATTGTGTAGTTCATAGGCCCCGAGGGGGGGGGCGTGTCGGTATTGTTATATACGGCATTCAATAAGTGTGCATCCACGTTATGTGTCTTGCCGTGGCTTGCCTTCACTTGTGCAGGCTGGCATGTCAGGCAATCAATGATGTTCATTTAAGGTTGACGACGCTGTGCGAGGGTTGTTGTGACGTGAGCCCGCTGTGCTTCCGGTGCCGTTCCGGAACACTCGGCGGAACCCACACCAGATCCAGCCAAATCCGGGGTCTGTCCCGGTGCCGGCAACCGCTGCGACGGAACCAATCGATAAGCGCGCCAAGACCCGAATTTGTAATTTTCTCGGCGCCACTGCATCAACGCTTTTCTGCCCCGCAAACCTGGCCCCTCCAGAAAATTTTCCCCGCCATATGGAGAGCTGTCGTTGCCCGTTCTCCGGCAACGAAAAACAACTCTTACTTTAGAAAAATGGAAGCAAATCCAGGCTGCCTCTGCCACCGCCTTCTGCCCTTGGCCCTTCTGCCGCGGCGGTGAACCTTTTGTGATTCGGCGGGGCTGTTCTTCTCCTCAATCCATCTCTTTGCGAGAACCGTGCGCTTCGTCGCGTGGTCAACCCGGACACAAGACCGACTTCGGTACTCCACCCTTCATTCACCCTGTGAATTCCCTCGACAAGTTGCCAGCCACTCTCCGTCGCCTCGTCCTGCCTGTGGTACTTCCGACAAGAGCCATTCGTCGATCCAATTGTCTGTGTTGGTGACTCTCGCAATCCTGAACCGGCAACATGTGCGGCATTCTCGGTCTCATCCTCGCCGATGCGTCGAGCGCCGATGCCGCCGTCGACCTGCACGAGAGTCTCTACTACCTCCAGCACCGCGGCCAGGATGCCTGTGGCGTTGCGACTTGCGCCGCCGGCGGTAGGATATACCAGTGCAAGGGCAATGGCATGGCGTCCAATGTGTTTGAGGACGGCAAGCGTGTCGCCGATCTCCCGGGCTACATGGGCATTGCGCATCTGCGGTATCCGACTGCGGGCACCAGCTCGGTAACTCCTCTCTTTTTTTTTTTTTTTTTTGGTTTGCTTATTTGCTTGCCTAAGCTAACAACGACGTTACTTCCCAGAGCGCCGAGAGCCAGCCGTTCTACGTCAACTCCCCCTACGGTATCTGCTTCGCACACAACGGCAACCTGATCAACGCCGGCGAGCTGCGCGACTACCTCGACAAGGAGGCCCACCGCCATGTCAACACCGACTCGGATAGCGAGCTGATGCTCAACGTCTTTGCCAATGCCCTCAACGATACCGGTAAGGCCCGCGTAAACGTCGACGACATTTTCAGCGCCGTGTCCAAGACATACCAGCACTGCCAGGGCGGCTGGGCTGCCACCGCCATGATCGCCGGCTTCGGCATCCTCGCCTTCCGCGACTCGTTCGGCATCCGCCCGCTCGTTATGGGAAGCCGGCCGTCGGCCACACTCGAGGGGGGGATCGACTACATGCTGGCCTCGGAGAGTATTGCCCTCCGGCAGCTGGGGTTCCGCGACTTCCAGGACATCCTCCCCGGCCAGGCCGTCTTCATCCAGAAGGGCGGCAAGCCGCAGTTCCACCAGGTCGCCGAGGCGCAGGCCTACTCGCCCGACATCTTCGAGTACGTCTACTTTGCCCGGCCCGACACCATCATGGACGGCATCTCGGTCAACACCAGCAGGCAGAACATGGGCGCCAAGTTGGCCGACAAGCTGCGCGAGGTTCTTGGGGAGTCCGGCATCAAGGAGATTGACGTTATCATTCCGGTTCCGGAGACGAGCAACACGGCGGCGGCCGTCGTGTCGGAGCGCCTCGGCAAGCCCTTCTCCAACGGCTTCATCAAGAACCGCTACGTGTACCGCACCTTTATCCTGCCCGGCCAGAAGGCGCGTCAGAAGAGCGTGCGGCGGAAGCTGAGCGCCATGGAGTCCGAGTTCAAGGGGCGCGTCGTCTGCCTGGTGGATGATTCCATCGTGCGCGGCACCACCAGCAGGGAGATTGTCAGCATGGCGCGCGAGGCGGGTGCGCGCAAGGTCATCTTTGCGAGCTGCGCGCCGCCCATTAAGCATCCCCATATTGTGAGTAGTTGGGGACCCCCTTTTTCGGTTTCTTTTCTTTCTGACTTAACTTTTTTCATAGTACGGCATCGACCTCGCCACACCCCAAGAGCTGATCGCGCACGAAAAGACGAGACAGGACATTGCGCGGCACATCAACGCCGACGACGTCATCTACCAGGACCTCGACGACCTCAAGGCCGCCTGCATGGAGGTGACGCCCGGCGGCAAGGTCACCGACTTTGAGGTCGGCGTCTTTTGCGGCAAGTACAAGACCGAGGTGCCCGCGGGCTACTTTGAGCACCTCAACGAAATCCGCGGCAAGAAGCGCAAGATGGCCGTCGCCAACAGCGGGCCCGTCAATGTCGCCAAGCGCACGCTCGCCAACGGCGGCGGCGCTGTCAGCCTCGAGCACAACAACAACAACAAGGCTGAGGGTGGTGAGGAGGAGGCGGTCAATGGGGATGACAAGAACGCGGGGATGGCCAATCCCAACAACCGGCAGGATATCAGGTATGTTTTTTTCCTTCTCGCTACCTAGGTTGAAATGACTTGCCTGCTAACTCTAGTCGATCTAGTCTTCACAACTGGGCGACTGAGCCGGCTCCCCAGTAGGAGTTGACCATTGGAAGAGATCATCAACAAAACCCTGGGGTCCTTGGAAGGGAGGGAGGCTTAGAGTGTGTCACGTCCAATAGACGGATAGAGGCCGGTTTTGGGGGGGGTGGGGGGTGGGGGGTGGGGGGGAGGTATTATTGTCTTGCTCAAAAGACCCATTTGTCGCCTTATCGGAGACATGTACATTTGGGCGGGTGTTTGCTTCTTGCATCGGTAGCGTAGACGAGGTTTAGGAGCGGAATCAAATGTAGCAAAAACCATCAAGCGGTTGCGAGAGTGCTGCAAGTGTGTTGCGGGCCTGTGACTGGGTAGTCCCTAGTATGTGTTGATGCTGGCTTTGGTTCTGTTTGGCTCTGGAGGTGGGTAAGGCTTGAGAAGGAATGGATGGGGAAGGGAGAGGGGGGTTAAAGGAGGAAAGAGGAAAGAAACAGATGGAGAAAATATAAAAGAGACGGATAGAGTGCCGAAACCTCGTACATACACGGCCTTCCCCTCAGACTACCCGCATTCACTGACTACAGACAAGCGGGACACGAGATCCACCCGGACAACCTCCCTGACGGAGTGTCCTACCCCAAGTTCAGCCTAGAAAAAGAGAAAAGAGACGGATAGAGAAAAAGAGACAGGAGACGGGAAAAAAAGGAGACGGATATAGAAAAAAGAAAGAGAAAAGAGACAGATAGAGAAAGAGAAAGAGAAACAAGACGGGTAGAGAAAAAAGGACACTGAAGAAGAAAAGAAATGATATAGTTAATACAAGATCTAAAAAATACGAAAAAGGAGGCATCGCTGCCGGGAATTGAGCCCGACGTGGGGGTCGAACCCACAACCTTGAGATTACGTGAGTTTGTAAGAGTCTCACGCTCTACCGATTGAGCTAGCCGGGCAGGCTATTCAAGTTGTTGAAGCGGGGGGGTAAAGCAGGTGCCTATATTGCATGCTAACCGTGAAGGCCCTTTACCTTTCTCTCCTGAGTTCCTAACTGACAATTTTCGTAAACTCTCTCGTTCATTTGACAAAGACCTCTATAACCAAGTCGACGCCGATTCAAGCGACTATCTCTCTGAGTCCGATTCTTCTGAGGACGACGTCGCATACCTCTCCGAAAAGCTCCGTCGAAAGCTCGAGGAGTCGGAGGAGCCTATCGCTGATCTAGATGCTAGCATTGGTGTCCGCAGGCCCGAGGACATGTGGGAAAACATGAATTACGTTCCCGACGACATGGCCGAAGACTTCAGGCAAAACATCCTGAAAAGGATTGAGATCCAGGAGACCCACATGCGCAGTGTCCTGAACCGCCGAGAGATGGTGGAAATCAAGTCCTACATCCTCTCCCTGCCCCACAAGGGTTTCAAGCGGTCTAGGGTGTGCGTTGACGAGGCACAGTCCCTACGGAACCATCTCTTGTCTAAGTACGTTCATCTTCGAAGTGGATGATGGCCCGAGAACCCTAGATCAGGACCGCTTCAACACCGTAAGTTCTGGAGCCCCGCACCAGCGGGAGAGACGGATAGAGATAGAGAAGGGGGAGAGACAGTCTGCCAGCCATCAAGGTTTCTTTGATCCCTACTGTCAAGTACTTCTACGAATCACTAGATTTGTATGTACGAACATGCGCGTTTGGGGGCACGATGGCACCACCGTCATCATCTTTCCTTCACTACCACAACTAGTCCTTGCCTGAAGGCAGCGAGCCACCCCTGAGCCCAGGTGCCCGCTCTCGGGCCGGGCGCAGATTCTACCGCATCGTCGACCACTTTGACGATGCGCGGGGCGAGAACACTGCGAGTGCAGGGGCAACCGTGGGCGAGTCCCCCAATACAGTCGTGCTCGGCTTATTCGTTCTACCCACGACTATTCGTGCTCGTCTGTCTCGCAGGGCAACTTCCTCCGAGCTTTCTTTTGCTCGCTGGACCTTCCAATTGACGACGGCGAGGACGACAGCGAGGACGACAGCGAGGACGACGGCAAGGTCGACGGCAATGATGACGGCAAAGATGGCGGCAAAGATGGCGGGGCCAGGGCGCGCAGGCGGATGGGTCGACCGACTGGGCCATCTTGTGCATCGAGGGCTGTGGTTTGACGGCGCTATCGATGCTTACTGAATCGGTAGTCACACGGTGGTCCATACCGTAACGGGGGGATGAGCAAGACGATGGATGGAAGAACTGACAAAATAAGGGGTGGAGAGGGGATGGGAGATGGTATGAGAAAGGGGGATCACAGGCAATGGAGGGTACCTAATGAGAAGTTCTAGTTCGATCCTTTCTCTAGCAGTCAGATATCGTCCCGCAACTTCAGTATCAGTCACTGGATACCCGACTACCTGCCATCCTCCGCAGCTGGTCGGGGGTAACAGCGACCTTTTCTTTAACCACGACATCGACTGTCCTGCCGATGTGCTCGGGCAAGTTGTTGGTATGGTTAGCCGATGAAGATGGAGGAGGTGCCTGCTGTGCCTGAGTATAACACTGCGTTGAGGCTTTGACGCTACAGTACCCGGTTGGGATGAGGTCGATGAGGTGAAAGATTGCGGTGTGTGTTAAGGGGCGCACTTGGGAGGATCGGAAAGGACGAGCTGCAAATAATCGTTGCAGATTGCTTTGGCATTACAAGTAGGCCACCATTATCGGCAAACATCATTTCCAAGTCCGTGGCAAAGTCCGTGGTAAGCTCTGATACCTAGTCGGTTGTCGATGAATGATGTGATGGAACTCAGTGCACAAGGGTGGTGGTTACTTGGGGTGATAAAGAGCAAGTACGTACTCCGTATTCATGACGTTGTGAATAAAAAACAAGGCTCCTTCTCAGTCACGCCTTCCACTCGAGAGCACTTGAGCCGTGACCTAAACTTGTGTTGAAGTCGATAGGAATTCGACAAAAAGTAAGGTTTGAGTTGGTTGGACATACCGCGGATTGAACGCGGGACCGTCTGTATTAGCCCAATTTTTCGTGCAAAACAGAAATCATACCACTAGACCATATGCCCGTAGACTCTTGTTGGGGTGTGCTTGGCGAAATCAGGGTTATCGGGGGGTGCTCGTCCGTGGTAGGTGGGGCGGCAAGTGGAGCTGCTCCACAGTGTGATTCCCGTCTCGGCTCCCACACATGCCACAGCAAATTCTGAAAACACACTGGAAATGAGACAAACCAACAAACCCCACCTTGCCAGCTCAGTCCCCCACCAAACCGCCGACGAGATGCTGCCCGCGACTCATGCACACACCTCTGCCCCCCTGCCTCCAACAAATCATCGCTTGGTCGTATAGCGCAATGGTAGCGCGTTACTTTCCGGTCAAGCACGATTCCAGCAATCGTGTTCTCCAGCTGGTAAAGGTTCTGGGTTCGAGTCCCAGTATGATCGATCTTTTGCTGGTGGTGTGGCCGGGGGCACTTCTTTTTTTGCTCGGGGGGCAGTTCCAAGCCAAAGGAAGAATGTTGCAGATGACTTCCATGGAGAGCATTCTGTGCTGAAATGACCACGGCGAGGTTAGGGTCACCGCGCCATTTCAGCGCTGACTAAAAAACACAGGTGCTTCTCCGAAAACACCAAAAAGGGACATCCTACAAAGCAAAAGTCAGAGCAAAAGCAGAGCAAAAGCAGAGGCCCAAAGACAGACATCTCAACAGTGCGGTTTATGTGGATCGAACACATGACCTTCAGATTGACTTCCCGAAGTTTGACTTCAGTCTGACGCTCTCCCAACTGAGCTAAACCCGCTGATGATTGGTTGTCGATTGGGGACGACAGCTAATGTGTGAGGGCTGTCCAGTTGTGTGTGGAGGACGGTGGAGCAGGATGGGACGTCTCGTCGTGGGAGTGGAGTCGGGACGGCAATGGAACATTCCCCTCAGAGAAACATGCAAATGTTCGGTGGCCAGCAAGTGAGGGATTCGGGGGCATGGGCATGGGCATGGGCATGGATGCGGGGTTCAGCGGGTGTGGTGTTGGGAGAATGGAAGGCCGGATGGCATGAGAGAAGCCTGGGTGAGGTCCTCTGCTCTCACCAAGACCCGTGTAAGTCAATTACCCGATCCGGCACCTCCACCGAGCAGCTGGACTTCCCAGCTCTGCTAGAGGACCACCAAGAAATTCGACTCTCATGAGGGGAACCGATAACCCCAACTCCTCGATCTGCTCCTCGGACGGAAAAGAAATTGCGATGCAGGTACAAATTACCTGCTCCCCAGCCACGCCGTCCAACACCGTGTACTGAGTATGCAGGCTGATATAACCGGCCATCCATAATTTACCCGGCCGCGGCCCCGGACGGAACGGAGCCCATGGGCCTTGGCCATCCGACTGACTGGTCCGGCTGAACATGGAGAGCCCCAAATCTGGGGTTGGCGCGCGGGGACGCGACTCTCACTCCTACGCCAAGTGCGCTCGTCACTATGGAATGACAAACCCGCCGGTTTTGTTGACCGGCGCCCACGGTGTTGGCACCATGCGGGGAGAGTGAGGGAGGAGACGGCGTGATATAAACCCCCAACTCATCCCCCCCGAAACACCATCTCCCACCTCCCACCTTTCACCCCTCTCCTCAACCTCCCCCGACCACCCACCATGAAGCTCTCCGCCCCCCTCCTCACGGCAACCGCCCTGCTCTCCCCGGCGACCGCCCAGCTCCACGACCTCGCCAAGCAAGCCGGGCTCCTCTACTTCGGCGCCGCCACCGACACCCCCCATCAGCGCGAGCGGGCGCCCTACCCGGAGTCTTACGCCCAATACGACGCCATCCTGAACGACCCCTCCGAGTTCGGCCAGACCACGCCGACCAACGGCCAGAAGTGGCTCTTTGTCGAGCCCCAATCCCGCCTCTTCAACTTCACCGAAGGCGACTACGTCGCCGACCTGGCCCAAAACACCAACAAGCTCCTGCGGTGCCACGCGCTCGTCTGGCACAGCCAGCTAGCGCCCTGGGTGGAGACCACCGAGTGGACGCCCGAGACGCTCACGGGCGCCATCACGCGGCACATCCGGGCCGTGGCGGGCTACTACCGCGGGCGGTGCTACGCGTGGGACGTGGTCAACGAGGCGCTGGACGAAGACGGCACGTACCGCAAGAGCGTCTTCTACGAGGTGCTGGGCGAGGAGTACCTCAAGCTGGCCTTCCGCGTCGCGGCCGAGGTCGACCCGGACGCCAAGCTGTACTACAACGACTACGGCATCGAGCGGCCGGACTCGGTCAAGACGGCCGGCGCCGTGCGCCTGGTGACCATGCTCAAGGACGCCGGCGTGCGCATCGACGGCGTCGGCATGCAGGCCCATCTGCACGCGGACAACCACCCGACCGCCGAGGAGCTGATCGCCACGAGCGAGGGGTACGGCGCGTTGGTGGACGAGGTGGCGTTTACCGAGCTGGATGTGCGCATCAAGATGCCCGCCAACGAGACCAAGCTGGAGTGGCAGAAGGAGTGCTACCAAAAGGTGGTGACGGCCTGCGTCAAGGTCAAGGCCTGTGTCGGGATCACGCTGTGGGATTTCTATGACCCCTTCAGCTGGGTGCCCGATGTCTTTGAGGGCCAGGGCGCGTCGCTGGTCTGGTTTGAGGACTTCTCCAAGCACCCGGCCTACGACGGCATGGTGCAGACCTTCAAGAAGCTTATTGGGGACAAGCCGGGGAACGGCTGCAAGCGGAGGAGAAGAAGTGTGGCGGGTGGGAAAGCTTGAGGCCTGGTTGTGGCCGGGGAGCAAGGAAACGCTGGTAAATCTTCGCAATAGTCATCTCCAAACTGGCGCTGGGGTATTCCACATTAGCAAAGCCTTCATAATACATGCCCCATATCCATCATCCGTGTTGTTCCATCACCGCGTCGCGTCATAAAAAAAGACAAAACACAAACCAACTCCTGACCCCAGAAGTACGCTTAACCAAAACCCAACCCAGCAGACATTCAAATCGTAACCTTCCCAACGAGCGGCAAGTCCCTACTACTTCCCCCAACCTCGACCATAAACTCCCCCCTCACCAGCCGCCATTTCTGCGCCACCACATCCCACACACTCAAGTCCCTCCTCGTCAGCCCAAACCTCACCGTCGCCTTACCGGCCACCTCCAAAAACGGCTTCTCAAACCCCCTCAGCTGCCTGACCGGCGCGCCCTCGGCCGGAATGCCCACATACAGCTGCGCCACCTCGGCGCCCTCCACGCCACCCGCGTTGGCCACGTCGGCAGACACCTCGACCAGCACATCCCACAAATCCTCCTGTCCGCCCTCGACGACCTCGCCCACGGGGTATTCACTAAACACGCCGTCGTCCGCCTTGTGCACGACCAGGTTGCTGTAGCGAAAGGTGGTATAACTCAGGCCAAACCCAAACTCGTACCGCGGCGGCGTGACATTCCGCGCGTCAAAGTGGCGGTAGTCCACCAACACGCCCTCGGAGAAATTGCTCTGGGGGAAGTGGGCAAACGTGCCCTGGGGCAGGTCGGGCAGGTCGGGCGCCAGCACGGCATAGTCGGACTCGTTGCGCGCCACCGTGTAGGGGAGCTTGCCCGAGGGGTTGGCGCGGCCGTACAGGAGCGAGACGACGGCGCGGCCCGAGGCTTGGCCGGGGAGGTGGGCGAAGAGGAGGGCTGTGACGTTGGGGTGGTCGACGAACTGGTCGACAAGGCGGATGCCGGCGTTGTGGAGGATCACGATGGTGTTGCCGCATTGGTCGGCCACGTGCTTGATGAGCCCGTCGGTGTAGTCGTCGCGCACGCCCGGGCGGTCGGCACCCTCGGTGGCGTAGGCGTTGCCAAAGATCAGGCAGGCGTCGGACATGGGGTTGACGGACGGGGTGCCGCTGTCAAAGTCCCAGAAGAGGGCGGTTCCGTCGTCATAGGCTTGGCTGACGAGCGCGTCGAAGGGGGATATGACGCTGGATTGCGACGTGGCGCCGGAACCACCGCCAGAGTAGAGGGTGCCGTTGAAAGCGATGGACGTGCGGTCGAATTCCTTGGACCACCCGAAGAAGCCAGCGCCAAACTCGGCGTAGTTGAATGATTCGGCGCCCCACAGCCATGGCGAGAGGCCGGCCGTGGGGTTGTTGCGGTCGGGATTCTTGGCCGAGTAGCCGAAGATGGACAGCATCTTCGGCTCCTTCAAGGGCAAGGCGTTGCGGGTGTTTTTGACGAGGACATGGCCTTCCACTGCGCCGTCCAACAAGGTCGACCGGAAAGACGAGTTCCTCGCATCGACAATCCTGTGGGGTTTTGTGAGGTCGGCCGCCATGCCTACCCCGGGTTGTGGGAAGTCCTGGTCCTGGCCCATCTGGTACCACGTGGCGAGGGTCCTGCCGCTGTTAGTAGGTGGTGGGGAGTCAGGGAGGAACACGCTTCTTACCTGATGACCATGTCATCGATGCGGGTTTCAGGAACCGAACCATTGTTGACAGCATCCACGAGGTGTGAACCCCAAAGAGCATCGCCACTCGGCATAGCCACATCCATACCTGCCAGAGCTGCAGCGGCCCCGGCGTGTTGGGCGCCCCAGTCACTGACGACCCAACCCTGGAATCCTAGCTCGGTTTTGAGAAGGCCGTTGAGTGCCTTGCTGTTTGCGCAGCCGTACGAGTTGTTCAGTCGCTGGTACGAGCACATCATGTTGCCGCTGCCAGCGTGGACAGCATCTTGGAAGGGCCTAGAACGTTAGAACGGGGTGGCGAAAGTGGACTTTTCCCGACGTACCATAGATATACCTCGTGCATCGTCCTGTCATCAATGTTTGACGACACCGATTGAACGTCACCGGAGGGGTTTCGGTTTGTCTCTTGTTCGTTGGCGATGTAGTGCTGCAGATGTGTCAGTGAGAGAGACCTAACGATAGGATACGGCGAATCGTACCTTGGTGCTAGTGATGACCCCAGCAGCTTGTACCGCCGACACTGTTTCGTGCACCAGAACCCCTGACAGATAGGGGTCGCTCGAGAAGCCTTATTTTGTCAGCCCCATTTCGAATTACTACAGCCGAATGGAGTCCTACCTTCCCAATTCCTGCCGCTCAACACGACACGGCCGGCTGGCCCAACAACAGGACCAAGCAGCACATTCACCCCCTTCGTCTTGAACTCACCGCCCATCCCGGACCCCCGCTGACGCGCGAGCACCTTGTTCCAGCTGGCGCCAACATGGATGCCACTCGGCCAGGCACTGACAAAGTCTGTTCCGCGGAGCCCGTTGCCAGCGTCAGCCAGACACATGCCAGGAAACCCGACACGCGGGATGGCGGGAAGAAAGCCAGGACAGCTGGTGTTCGAGCTGGCACCGGCAGTCAAGCTAACCTATCCCGTCGTCAGTTCCATCTTCTGCAAAAACAAATACCTAGAAAGGTAAAACATGGGTGGTTACCTTCTCCTCCAGCGTCATCCTCCCGACC